AATGTTCATACAATGAACTATAATCGATAGACTGTATTTTCATTTGCCCCACCAATGTCCTTTTTTCTGGTCAGGGATCACAGACGTTTTCTTAGACTCCTTTAACCTGGAACGGTTCCTCGGTCTTTTTTGGTCTTTCATTACCATGATACTTTTGAAAAACACCAGCTGGTTTCAATTTGGGGTTTATCAGATGGTTTATCATAACTCAATTTAGGTGATGTGTTTTGGCAAGAACACTCCAGATATGACGGTGTGTCCTTCTTGGTGCATCCTGTAAAAAGGCACGTGGCATTGGTTTATTTCATGACGAGGGATGTTAAACTTCGATCACTTGGTTAAGGCCGTGTCTGCCAGGTTTCTCCCCAGTGGCGTAACTATTCTGCCTTTGTAATAAACAAGCTTTTTGGGGGGAGATACTTTAAGACTATATAAACACACTGTTTCTCATCATACTTCTGCCCATTCATTTTACTATCCATTGATGGTTCTGGCCTGAAATAGTTATTACTGTTGTGCTGGCCAAATAAGTTTCTAGTCCCATTATTCTTTCTGTAGCTTATTAATTGGAATGCTATTATAAACAAGTGCTTTTCCTTCTCCCTCATTTATTTATTTATTCAGTTATTTCTTTATATTTGCATGGACTCATGGGTTCTTATTTTAGTCTCTGGGTTATGATCCATGACTACCATTAATTATCTTGTTGCTTGTCACAGATTTCACCATTGGAAACCCTTCGAAGTGACTCCTGCATCCTCCTGGCACATCCCCATTATTCCATGGACACTGTCTTACTTTCTGGCAGAGGAAGACATTCCTGACTCATTTTCTAGGCTCCCTGTCCCAGCCCGGGAATCAGCCATTTCTCCGAGATTCTGGTTCCTTTTATTTGGAGAATGGTATTTTGAAACCAAGATCTTGAGTGCGAGGTGTGCTCACTGGTATTGGGGTGTCGCTGCTTCCAGGACTTCTCAGCAGACAGAGCTAGGAAATATATGCATACCTATAAACCACTCTATTTCCGTATCTATCTCTGGGGGGTGGGTGTGCGCATATAAAGTGATGCATGACGCATTCATACTGATAAACTCGGATCACCACCAGCCTTCCGTCTTTTCTTCTGTGTAACTCCTCCCAACAGAGTAAAAGCTGGCTCTTGTTATTCACAATATTTTATATGCTCGAGACTAGAATCTACGTAAAGTAGGTTCAGAATTGCCAACCCGTATCCCAGTGGAAAACAAACCCACTATCTAGAGAACAGGATTTGTGTTTGGTTTGGGGGGGAGGGGTTGGCGGTTGGTCTTTAGCCTTAGAACAGTGGTTCTTTTTTTTTTTTAAAGATTTTATTTATTTATTTGACACACAGAGAGAAAGCACAAGTAGGCAGAGAGGCAGGCAGAGAGAG